GAATCGCCGGCAAACCCAATCCAGTCAAAATCAACACGTTCCTGAATGCAGTTGGAGACGACGCACTCGACTGGTTTGAAACAATCACATTGACAGATGCACAAAAAGAGAGCTATGATGAAATAGTGAAGGTGTTCCGTGATTTCTGTAAGCGAAAAAAGAACATCATTTATGAGCGTTACATGTTTCATCAGCGGCATCAAAGAGACGGTGAGCCAATTGATTCGTTCTTAATTGATTTGAAAAAACTCGTCAAAGACTGTGAATACGGTGAAAAGGAGTCTGAAATGCTGCGTGATCAAATTGTTTTGGGCATAAATGACAAAAAACTCCAATTGCGATTGTTAGAGACGTCGGATCTAACATATGACACGGCCGTCGAAAAGTGTCGTTCAAGCGAAGCAACAAGAGAGCAGCATACAACAATGTGTAAGACAGTCACTGTACACGAGGTGAGAGGCGAGAACAACAACACACAGTACCGTAATTCAAGCCACGTGGCCGAGCGTAGTAGTGGAAGCAACAACAAAAACAATGGAAACAGCAAGGCAAGCACCAGCACAATGAAGAAGAAGAAGAAGGGAGCACAACAGCATGGCACACAATCGACACACACAAAACAGCAACACACACAAAACAGCAACACACACAAAACAGTTCAGAGAAAATGATAAACAACTGTAGGTATTGTGGTCGTACGCACAAAATTCGTGAGTGCCCGGCCTTTGGTAAGACGTGTGACAGCTGTAATAAGCGTAATCATTTCAGTAGTGTTTGCAGAATGAAAAACATTGAAATAATTTGTGAATCGAATAATTCCACTGATTTTGATTGTAGCGACAATGAAGAGTTTTTCATAGGGACACTCGAAAATGTAAATCATGACGATACGACCGAAGAATCGATTGTGTATCCGTGGCTGGAGACTGTTGTTGTTGAGAAGAAAAAAGAGCCATTCAAAGTTGACACAGGAGCAGAAATTGATGTCATTCCACTGTACGTATTGAAGCGACTCGGCCGACGAATCAAAGTGGTGAAGACGGGCACCAAATTGCGTGCATTTGGAGGTCAAAAAGTGGACCCAATCGGTATGTGTTATCTTTCTTGTCGTTTTGGTGATAAGACTTTGATGAATCGTTTTGCAGTCGTTGATCTCGACTTTACACCAATTCTCGGTTTGAAAACTTGCATTAAATTCGGAATTGTCACACCATCGAAACAGTCCACACGCTCGCCGCGAAAAAACCGTAATCCATTATGACTAGAATCCATTGAGCAAAACGTTGATAGAGATTACATTCTCACTAAATATTCGGATTTATTTAAAGGTTTGGGATGCTTTAAAACCGAATATAAAATTCATTTGAAAGAAAATGCTAAGCCAATTGCTTACGCTCCTCGTCGTGTTCCTCTTGCAATTAAAGATAAATTAAAGAAGAAATTGGAAGAGTTAGTCGCAAATAAAATAACTGAAAAAGCCGGCGGCTATAATGAGTGGGTAAATCACCTTGTCACAGTAGAGAAAAAAGATAAGGAAAAAAGTCTGCGTTTGTGTATAGATCCACAACAATTAAATGCATGTATTTCGGATGAGTACGAATACATACCCACTTTTGAAGACGTTGCATCTCGTGTAAACGGAATGGAATATTTCACAGTTATCGATTTAAAAGACGGATATTGGCACGTCAATTTGGATAAAGAATCGAGTAAACTGTGCACATTTGCAACGCCATTCGGTACCTTTAGATTCTTGCGCATGCCGTTTGGCATAAAGTCGGCACCGAGTGTATTTCAAAAAATGAACTTTGAAAATTTTGGCGACATAAATAACGTAATAATTTATTTCGATGACATTTTGATTATGGGCAGAAATAAAAAAGAACACGATGAGACATTGAAAAAAGTACTTGAAAGAGCAAGAGAAAGGAAAGTCAAATTCAACCCAAATAAAATTCAATTGGCAATGAAAGAAGTTAAGTATCTCGGACACATTTTTTCACTTAACGAAATAAAGCCAGATCCAGATCGTTTAGTTGCAATTGAGCAAATGAGCCGACCGAAAAACAAAAAAGACTTGCAAACATTTTTGGGTGTACTAAATTTCATGTCACCTTTCGTTCCAAATTTGTCGGAAATGACTGCTCCGCTTAGAGAGTTATTGAAGAAAAATGTCATTTTCAACTGGACGGAATTGCACTCAAAAGTTTTTGACGATATTAAACATCACATTATGAACTCAAACATTCTAGTTTCATTCGATCCAACAAAAGAAATAGTTGTGCAATGTGATGCATCCTAATTCGGTCTCGGTTGCTGTCTTTTGCAGGATGGCAAGCCCATTTCATTTGCTTCTCGTAGTCTGACGCCGTGTGAACAAAATTACGCACAAATTGAAAAAGAAATGCTATCTATTCTTTTTGCGTGTAACAAGTTCAAATTCTATACATACGGTCGTAGGGTTACGGTGATAAATGATCACAAGCCTCTTCTGGGCATAATGAAAAAAGAAATTCATAAAATATCATCGGCGAAATTGCAACGAATGAAACTTCAGTTGCTCAATTTTGAAATAGTGTTGCAATTTGCGCCAGGAAAAACAATTCAATTGGCGGACTATCGGTCCCGTTATATGATCAAAAGTGATTTAAATGAAGAAGACAAATCACTGACGGAAGCGATTTTGAGCATAAATGTCAGCGATGAACGGAAATCTGAATTGAAAAGAGCGACAGAAGAAGATGAAACATTGAGAAAAATTAAAGAGTATTGTAAAGTGGGGTGGCCGAACAACAAATCAAAGTGCCCAATGCCAGTCAGACATTATTATAGGCTGAGAAATGATATTCTGATTGAAGACGATTTGTTGTTTTACAATGAAAGAATTATTATTCCGGGTTCCATGCGACAAACAATTTTGAATAAGTTACATGAACCGCATTTCGGTGTTACTAAAACACAAAAAAGAGCACGCGACTCAGTATTTTGGCCATGCATAAACAATGAAATTGAGCAATCAGTTTCGAAGTGCCAAATTTGTCAAGAAAACTCAGCTAAAAATCAAAAGGAGCCACTAATTTCTCACGAAATTCCCACTTACCCGTTCGAAAAAGTTGCATGTGACATATTGGAACACAAAGCAAAAAATTATTTAGTGCTCGCTGACTACTATTCGAAATGGATAGAGCTAATTAAATTAAATAAGAAAACAGCGCAGGAAATAAATAAACATCTGCTACGAATTTTTACATCCTTCGGCTATCCACATATCATCGTTGCTGATAATATGCCGTTTGGATCTTATGAATGTAAACAATTCGCCAATGATCATGACATTAAAATTGTAACGAGTAGTCCAAATTACGCTCAATCGAATGGCATGGCTGAAAAGGCCGTTGACATTTGCAAGAGAATTTTGAAGAAGTCGAATAATGAAAATGAAGTTTTGAAAGCATTGCTTGCGTATCGTTCGACTCCGACAAAATATATGACATACTCGCCTTCGGAGCTCTTACAAAACAGAGTTCTCAGAACTGACATTCCAATGCATAAAAACAAATACAAACCGAAATTGTGTGTTGACGTCGAGCTGCAGTTGCAGAATAAGCAAAATAAATCAAAGGCTTGTTACGATAGGACGGCAAGACTGAGAGACACAGATTTCGAACAAAGTCAACCGGTCATTTTTCAAAACAATAACAAATGGCAGCACGGAAACATCGCCATGAAACATGATACGCCTCGTTCTTTCCTAATTGATTCTGATGGTCGAAGCTACCGCCGAAATACAAAACACATTAAAAAATTTAACGGCACAACAACAACAACAGACTCATTGCCCGATCAACAGTCGATACGGAAAGTCACACGAAGTGGTAGAGCGTATTAGTTTTTTTTTTTTTTAATTGAAATTGTATACATACACACATTTTTTTTTCATTTCTTTCTCTTGAATAATTTGATTTTCTTTAATGAATGAAGTAAATTGAATTGAATTAAAGATAGGAAGGGGAAGGATAAAGAGATACATTTGAAACAATTGTAATTTAGAATAAGAACAATCAACACATCTTTCTCAATCCAATGAAATAATAAAAGGGAGAGATGTGGCATGACAGATGTCATGCTATTGCATTGTGACATCTTAGTGAGTAAGAAGCATTGAATAAAGCAACAGTCGTATTAAGTCTTTCAACCTATGCGTACACTCTCTCTCTACTATCACTCACCATACTACAGATATGATTTATAGGATGCATCATATGATGATAATAATAGGTCGCGAAATGTTCATGTTCATACAAATTTAAACCATTTTCTCAACACCATTCATCAGCTCCGAAATTCGATCTGTGTCCATTACTTAGGGAAAATCATAAGAAAGATAGCACAAGAATTTGTGCCGTCAAACATTTCGACCTACATATATCAAAATGCATCGTATCTGACCATGAAGGTCCAACTCTAAAAATTATTCATTTCATTTGCATTTTTAATTGGTTTGACAAGAAGAAAAAAAACCCAGATTCAATTTGTACACAATTTTATTATACCTTTCTACAATAAAATATGTTTGAAATATTCTCTTTCTTCAAATAAATAATATGTGTTTTGACTTTCATGCACCAAAAGTTGTGACATTCATAAAAGCAATGGGTCAAAAAATGTCGTCCCTTTCAAAAACTGAAATGAAATGTTCATTTCAATAGTAAAAGTGAGAATCTTTTAAGATCATATAGAAGATTTGATTAATTACACACCAAAAACGCGTAAAAATTCGGCAAAATAATACTGTGATCTGATTCACAATTATTGTTTGCATAAAACGTTTAACGATGGTCTTTTTGTTGATATGGTGAACGTCACACGATAATAAATTAACTAATCAGACTTGATTGTACTAAAGCACTTCGGAGCAGTGTGTTTTTAACACGCTCATTTGTAAAACGAATGGGAAATTTGAGTAATGATACTGAAGCAGCAATTGATTAAAAAAAAAATTCCCAAAAAAAATTATCAACAAATTTCTTTTTAACTTATTTTCTTAACCTTCTGCTTTGATATTAATAGAATCTGCCGAATAGAGCGCCGCTCAGAACTAAGAAAAGCATTCGCGAGAATTTCAGCATGTAAAGGAACATGAGATTTTGGTATGTTTGGTCTTTATCGTAAAGTTCAGCTTTCTCTTTCATTTTATCATATCCAACGACCATTGCGTCATTCATCGAAAATACGATCGGGATCAATGGTTTGTATTGTTCTGGGATCATAGCTGTTACATCGGCATCCGAGTCGATTTCATTGATTCGATTATCTTCGTAGTAGATTTTGTCCTTTGACGGAGATCGGCCCTGAGCGGTTGCATACGGAGCGACTTCAAATGCATAGCTAATGGTCTTAAGAAGAGAATGAGTGGCATTGTGTCGATTTGGAATGTTGAGTTTAGCGCCCAATTCAAAATCGGCGAATGCTTCTTCTTCAATGCCGCAATTACCACGGAAGTCATCCATTTCAATGGGGAAAGCCATGGCGCCGCCTAATTTTCGGTCTACTGCAAATTGGATCTTGTTTGCGATTGAACGGGCTGATTCATAGATTACAACGTTTGTTGATTTCAAAATGCCGCGCCACGATTTCGACTCGTCCTTTGCAATGGCCAATCCAACTTGATCATCGTAGAATTTCTCCCATTCGGAATTTTTAGCGTTTGATAAAGTGCGGCACACTTCATCGTAGGTCATTGCTCTTCTAAATGTGGCCGATTTTGGAGCGAGATCCAACACTGCATGGAAGGATAGGCCAATGAATTGAAGGCCCAACACAATTTTTGCCGGTTGTACACCCGATTCAATCAAATAGTCAATGGTTTCCTCCAAATTTGAAATGTTCCGTGATTTCAAGACATCTTGGACGCGATAGCTACCGGGCCATGTTTCAACAAAGTTATACTGTTGCACGAATTGAAGACGGTCAAAGTGTTCAGATAAGGCTGGAATGTTGAGTTTTTCCGCTTGGTCTTTGTTGAACGCAATAAATGTTGATGTGAGCAACAAATTTTGCGTTTCGAAACTTTCCATCAACTCTCGCATGAACTGTTGGATGTTATCTTTGCCAGTTAAACTGTGAAGCCTGGAAATTGGGAGAAATTTGAAAAATGTGTTAAATATTGAACGATGTGAAAGCGCGCCTAAAAGAGAATAAAGAAAAATTTTGAATCTATTTTTTCGGTCTCAAATTTTGTCTCCCTCACACTAGCGGCTGCTCTACATCGTTGACGAAATAGGTGGCAATAATGCGACTAAGTGCGTTATTTATCACCGCATAAATCTCATTCCATTAATATTTTTACAAACAATTTCTGACGTCAATCAGATGTTAATCAGAATCAAAGTTATTTGGTTCCATTTTTCCTACGCAAAGAAAAAAGTTGATTAATCAACGCCTACCTATCTTCAGAAAAGTCCCAAATTAAATCCAACCCATCAAATTTGTGATTCAAAATGAAATCGGTTGCTCTTTCAATAAATCTCTTGCGACGTTCTGGATTTGCCGCGTGTCGAACGTACTCATCGAGCGGATATTTGGCAGCCAAAGACACCTAAGTAGATCAATAATTAAATTTTTGTATTAGTTAGATGGTATTTCCCGAGGCGAACATCGAAGCATTCAACATGAATTAAGGCAGAACCACATCAATCAGCAAATCATAATTTAAAACCCATTTGACTTTCAACACGTTCGTATGTTGATATTTTTTTTCAATTGTTGAAAAAGTCATTTTTGTATGTCTTCGTTCTTTTATTCAAAAATGATAGAAATACTATCTTACTAATGAAAATAGTGAAAGAACTCGAATTTTGTGTTGAACTTTCTCACCTTTAAGTGTGGATATTGATGCCGCAAACTAGTGTAGCGTTTATAATGGCCTTCAATTTTGCTATCTCTCGAGACCCATGGTTCTGTATCGGAAAATTGAGAGAAACATATATGCAACATTTTTCGAAAAATTATTTACCACTTTTGAGCTAAATGTGAGCTATTTAGATACAACAACGGAATTTATTCAGTTTATGAACATTTTTTTCCTGACTTACCGATTGATTTATCCCAAATATTATCAACGCAGACGAGATGCGTACACAGTTTTAGATCAACATTTTCGATTTTAAACTTGGAATCTTTCAATTGGGACGATATTGATGTGGTGCAGACGACTGTTTTGTCATGCGGTGGATCTGCGTTAATAACAATTTGAAATGGAAAAAATAAGATGAAAAGAATAAAACAGAGAAATCTTACAACATTATTAATTACTAAATATCGAGCAGAATAAGTGATAAAAAAATAGTTCTTAATCTAGGGGCTTTCATGTATATTCCACACCATAGATGACAGTCATACGAAACATTCACAATACTGACAAAATATGCACCATATTCACGGAATATACACACAAATACGAATGTATATTTTGACTTAAAAGCCCCCTATTTTTTTAATACGATGAAAAGATATTCCAGTAATAGATCTAGTTTTTCGACCAATATTGGTTAATAATTATTACCTCTATAAAGATAATTTTCAGATTAAGTATCGAAATATCAAATTGCGAATTGGAAAGGCAAAATTTTGTTTACAATTTACTTCAAAACGTACCTTTTCTAACAACACTGATCAAGTTCTTAGCTGCAGCCAATGTGAACAAGCTCGAAACGGCCAAAATGCACACAAAACGTAACATATTAACGACCTGTAAGAAAATTGGGTAAAAATAGAGCAATTTTTTCAGTCATTTTCATCAGAGGTTGGTTGCAGATAAATTTATTTATATAAATTTCAAATATCAAATAAATTTATCGAATATTTTTCATGCGTTGTGTTGTTCTGACGCATTTGCAGTGCATAAACGAGACATCGGCTGTTGTATCGGCCGCCAGCTATTTGTCGCTGGAATGAGATTTTCGTTTTGTTCATTTACCGTTATTTGTCAACAATTTTGTCACTGCGTACATAGTATATATAGTCCATAAGAAATGTAAAATATTCGCCATTTAGTGCTACATTGCCAATACATTAGTTATGGAGATTTTTGTTTTGTTTGTTTTTTGTCGTTTGTAAACAAATCTGCCTATCATTGTCTCTGCACATTTAGCATGATTTTCATGTTTGTTAAACAAACTTTGCCCGTAAATTAGGCTTTGGCCAATTTAAAATTTGGCATATATGCTTAACTAATGAATATATTTGTTTGTTAATAATCGACAAATTTTTTGTGAAATTAAAAAACGTAAAATTCATCTCAAAAATCTTGAGGCATTATAATTTGATATCAGCAGAAGAGCTGAAAGAATCTAACATCTAAAGCGCGTCAACACATCTATCACATTCCGTTCTAAGTGTATTTTGTGGTAATCCCATATAAACGAGAAAAAAATGTGCATCACGTTCTGTATGACACACGCGTTCTTCTTTGCTTTCTTCTTCGTCTTTCGTTTTATTGTTGCTTCACACTTGTTTACCTCCACAGCCACGAATGGCCATTCAGTGTATCTCGTTTGTTATTTTGTTGCCTACACATATGTTTATTTCTCTGAAGGAAATGACGACTAACATTTTTATAACGTGAACAGTTAGACCGTTTTTCGAGTCATCACATGATAAATCGATACGCTCGGAAACGAAACAAAGCAGACCGCGGACCATGGCTAGAAACAGAATAATTCGTTGCATTTTAATGAGAAAGTTTCTTTTAGAACGGTATGTGAGATGTAGGCCGCTACATAAGACATGTTCATATATGATTTTGGGTGTTTCCAACATCGACATCATCGTATCTCATCTGAATACCGATATGAATACATAGAATTGGGTCATGTGTAACACATGAGTGCAGAGAACTCAAATTAAACGTCGTGAACCGTTCCCCACAAAAAAAGCAATGTGATGAATCGAAAATACGAGAATAAAGAGAAACATAAAAAAGCCACATGCAAAAATACAAAATCAAATCCGACAACATGGTAAAACTATGCTCGAAAAAATTGGCAGCACTTTTGTTTGGAAAGTGCTCTGCAAATTAAACGTACGTCATCGGAACGAGAGAACAAAAAGACGCCGTCTGAAATGAGTGAAATTGATGGAAATCGAGGCCAATGTTACATTTCTACAGTGACAAAAAAAACTCATTGCACAAAATCGAAATCACTTGTTCTTGAAGCGTGAAAATACTATTATCAATCAAATTGAGAAGAAACAAAATGTTGTCAAGAAGACACTTGAATTGTGATTTTTTTTGGATCTATTCAAATGAAAACAAAAAAAAAACGAGAGTTTTTTTTCTTTGTGGGTTCAAAAAAAAAATGGCGAGAAATAAATAGAGTTTCTTTAGTAATTGTCGATCTTCAACATTCTCGGTTTTTTTCTTTGACAGTCGAGAACTGGGTCGAATAGTTATCATTTCCGTTTGACTTTCCTTGTCTCTACTTTTGATGTGTTAATAATGATCAGAAGACTTTTTTCTGCCTTGGAATGAATTATTTTTGTCTTTGGCATTGAATGTCAACAACACTTTTTTATGAACACACAAGAAGACTTTTTTGGACTTTAAGAAGACATTTTTTTAAAAATAAAACTTTTCTTGCTTTCAGTGGATTTTTTTTTGAGTTCATGAGTCTTTTCGTTTATAAAGCAGATGATTGATTTTATAGTCTACTTTGAAATGTTCAAAGCAGACGTTTTCGTTTGCAGAATGTATTTTTCACCCAACTTGTATACGTTTTTCCACTTAAAAACCTCAAAATTCATCGAAAATGACCTGAAATTCGACCAAAGGGTTTCACGTTCCGCACGTTCAACGAATTTAATTGACCGCAGCTTCTGTTTTTATCATGTAGTCACGTAGATTGGTCTTCAAACTAGTTATTCTTGTCTGTTTGCATACGAATTCTTCTTCTTTTTTTGATTCTTTGTGTCCGAACAAGTTTTCAATGCATACAAGTCTGTGTCAGTGATGATAAATCCTTAAGAATGGCAAAATATTTAATTTACCTTTTAGAACTTCAGCAGTAATCAATTTAACCTTGACTTTAATCCAACTAGTTCAATCTTCAAAATTGTTTTAACACTTCACCTTTTCTTCAACAATTTTCTCAACCGTCTAATTCTCTGCTTCTTCACTCTTTCTATTCCGATTCCACGATAATTATTCGAAATTCACTGTGCGTTCGGTTTGTTCTGTTCGCTTCTTTCGCTACTTTGATAGACGTGCTTCTTTCAAAGTCCAAATGGAAACTGCGATCGAAAGCGGTGACTCGTTGAATTTTATGTTCAGCTGGCTTCAGAAGTGAGAGAAGAACTCTTTTCTCACCATTGAAATTCCGTTCACTCACTGTTGATGATACCTACTCTTTCTTTTCCCCGTTGTTTTTGTTGCTGTTGTTGTTGGAACGCCAAATGAAAAAAAAAAACGATTTCACTTTGTTTATTATTAACACCGTGCACGGTCATTTGTGTTGGATAGCATATTTCCGATTAGCACATTCATTGACATTCACCGAGTCGTTGTGAACTGGATTGTGCCGACAGAATCATTGGCAGTCGGATCAACTTTTCTCTTTGCATTTTTATGGAAGAAACTTCGAGAAAATTCATGAAACCAAAAGAATATTCCGTGGTTGTGGTATATAGACGTATTGATGTGGGGGAATTGTCTCATAGTTTCGGTTGGAAGAAGATTTATTGACGGTTTTTAATATTTGGTTCCATGAATAGAGAGTTAATTTGAATTGAATTTGTACAACCTTTCTTCTTTATAGATTCATTTAACGGTAGATATAATTTGACATAAGACTCTAGACTCTTGAATAAATTTATAGATTGTAAAAAAAATTTGAACGAATAATAGTTGTTTTTGATCTTATTCACAAAGACTATCGAAAACAATGAAGCTGATCTACGGACATAGAACTTTTATATGTATGAACAAGAACATCAATGTTCAAACAATTGGTCAATGACCCCCTGGTCATTCGGTTATACATTGTGCAAGCATATTAAAAGAACCATTTACTCTCTGGCATTCCTGTACTTATATCATTTGTTCCGTGTTAAACGTTTTGCTCTCTCTTACCCGATCTCTTTCAAGCCACACTTTTTTTACAAGTTGATCGATCTTTATTCTCTCCAGATTTCAACCGCACCAATTGCACATATTCTGCTACGTAACGCGATTCTGTTCGTCACACAATCAATCGATTATGCATTCAACGTTACCTTTTCATTGATACCGTTACTTTTATTCCAGGCCAAGTCCGACGCAAACATCAACAAACACCACAAACCGGTATCGAAACGTAAACATCGAACACATGGTTTATTCAAAGTGTAATAGCCCAGCGCGAGAACGCTAAATGGAGAGAATCATACGCAATGGTTCGTCGTGTGTCTTCGATCTCTCTTTACTATCTTTGTTGTCTTTCGTCGTGTTCATACCTTAACTTAATGTTTTACATTCTAATTCAAATGCTGACTTGAACGAATATTCATGAAAAAAAAATCGATGTTTTTGTTTGGTTAGACGATGAATTCAATTATTGGTTTAGTGTCACGTTCCGATGTCATGTTTAACACACAAATTTTTTTCGGAATCTTGATGAAAGCGACGATTTCATTCATTTATTTTATTGCTTTCATTTGGAAGTCAAGCAAATGAAGAAAAAAAGGGTTTTGATATTTGATTTTTTTCAATGACATTTTTTAAATTTTGTGTAGGTAGTAACTTAATTTAATAAACTAATTTGAAATATGATTTTCAATAGAAATTTAAATTATCATATATGGTAAAAGACACTTTTAATTGAGCTGTTTTAGGAATGCAGTTTCAATGAAGATATAATTTTACCAACTTTACTAACGGACATAAATATTTCTTAATTTGAAAAAAAAAAACAGTTCGATTTCACTCAAAACACTGCATTCGTTATGGTCATCATACGTTTGTTATTGCAGCGTTCAACTTTTCATTACCATTCGTTGAGCCAAATTGCCAAAATGTGATAAGTAAACACATGTTTTTGAAGTACAACAACCGAAAATGACAACATTAAATTTGGCCATTGTACTTTGGATCATAGACAGCACGTGTGTGACGTCCAACGACAGGTTACTCTTCAACCACTTTTTATGCTTCGTTACTTTCATTTTAATTCACACATCCACCAAGAATTGTTCCAATATCAGCGGTCACTCAAAGAAGAAAAAGATTCGTTAATGGTTCAATGTTACGCTCCGCCTTCAATTAGTTGACACATTGGAAATTCCACAAAGTGAGAGCTTCGATTATGTTCTCTAGAAACACTTGGGAGGTTCCCTAATACAGAGCTATATCCAGCGCTGGAAATGGTCGTTGAAATTTATACGCACGTGAAGAGATTGATAGATGTTAGAAGATCATGAGTCGGAACGAATTGGAATAAACTATAAAAAATCAGGGAATAAAATAAGCGTGATTCAAGCATAAAACCGGTAGTCAAGATTTTGTTTCGGTACTCAAAAATTGTATTTTCTGTAGTTCAAATGGATATAATCAAGACAAAAACAACTTCGATTTCTACATTTTTACACATCGGATCCGCAAAGAGAGAAAGAGAAAGAAGAAAAAACAATCACGATAAATGCAAACAGTTTTAATATTTTGGGGAACAAGTCAGAATTGGAAGAAAAAAAATCGTTCTAAACAAAAATCAAATATTCATCCAACACTATGAAAATGAGATTCAAAGAAGAAGAAAATTTCGGTAGTAAGAAAAATTTCTTATTTTACTCTGAAAAATGCTGCCAGCATTATGCTGGTTTTTTTCGTTTTATCTCTGTTAACAGAATTCATAATTATGAGGTTGGACGCAAGGTCAGAAACAAGGTTTGACAATTTCTAGGACGGAATTTGCTCACTACATCGATTTGCTTGACTTTTGAATGAGGATATTGATTTTGCAGGTTTATAAATTGTTCGTTTGTTCTTTCAACATTAATGTCATTTGAATTTTACAGTGCTTTGATTTTTTTAAAGTTAAAATTAAGTAAAACATGACAATTTTATGTGAAAGTATTGAATACAAATGGGATTCCTTCAATATAAGTTCATTAACATTTATATTCCATCAAAGATAAAGAGAGCCATCGAATTACATTCATTCATGTGCAAAAATTTTCGCCAGCAATAAAACCCAATTTAACTTTATTCTCGAACGACATGGAGAATGTACTTTTTAGCATCAAATTGCTGCCAGCAATAACTGGCATTAATTCAACGGTAAAGTTGATTGAACTTCAATTCTTTTTCGCGTGATCGCGTTTAATTTGAATCAGAGAATCATATTTGCGTACATTCACGTGGGATAATGATTTTCTTCTTCTTGGACGTGTTTGTGTTTTTTTCCATTTCAGACACATTTTAACTGTGCATACACTCTCGATCATCAATCACAAATTCATTCTGTATTTTGATTTACCAAGTTCTCCTATAGCATCAATACATTTACATATGGGTCAGTCTTAGTTCTTAAAAAAACAACTTGAACCATTTGGGTTGCGCAACATTCAATGTGATTGATCTATAAGAATATCTGCGCTATTTTAGTAAAATTAATGCATTCAATCGTAATGGTTACGTTATTACCGATATATGACACATCAAATGCTGTTACCTTCATTCCGGCTCGATAAAAAAAATCCTAACAAAACCAAAACCTGGTTCTAAATTCGCAAATATGTTTCGCCGAAAATGATAATATGTTGTGATGTTGAAAAGTGGAAACAGAATCTGTATACCGCACAGAGAAAACTGAATTGGTGAACCCTGCCAGTTCTATTGGTGAAATGCAAAAGTACCAATAGATTACATTATTGAACCCTGACGGTCTATTGGTGAAATGTCATTTCACCAATGGAATTTTTCATTTGTATTGGTAAATTCAATACAATAGGAAATGTTAGTAAATTTGTCACTTGTATTGAAATTACCAATACAAATGAAATATTCTATTGGTGAAATGACATATCACCAATAGAACTTATTTGCTTTAAAAAAGTGGTTTTGTATGTGCGTTCAGTGTCGGTCGATACATCGCTGTTTATTTTCGTTTATTCTTTAGCATCTTTACGCTTTTTGCCACTTTCTTTATAATTCACAAACAGCATACAAACTGTCTTATTTAAATGTTGTATTGGTATTGAGCCACACGCGTCTCTGCTTCACACATTTGACACACAAAATTTGAGATTTTCAAGAAATGAAAGCATCAATTTGACTATTGTCAATCAGTATCATTTGTTAATTCAATCGCGTTATTCCGGCGAGTATAATACTACAGCCCAGATCATATGAATGGTTTGGAGCGAAAATGTAATACAGAAAAGTTGAGCGGAAAAATCTCGATGATCAATGAGCGGAAAAGGGATAGCTACTGTACTGAACTGTATAGTAAACTAAAGTGAACTATATAGCTATCCCTTTTCGTTTGACATTTTTCCTCTCCTACTTTTCTGTATTATATTTTCGCCCCAAACCATTCATATGTGGTATTTACAGACTTCATTCAGATGAAATCGATAAAAAAAAGCATCACAAAATGTATATGCAAAATTATCGGCGATAATTTATCGCTTTTAAATTTTCACACGGTGGAGAATGTTGGAGTAAATGTCTCGAAAAATTATTAGTAACCGTGTGGCGGCTGTTGAACGTCAAAGTCATTTGAGGCGACGCGAGCGCCCCCCATTTCAAAGGGCACATCAATGTAATTTAACATTTCAAATCGGAACTAAACAGCGCGCCAATTCGAAATATAGGAAAATATAGTGTAAACAGCCGCACCATGTTAGTAACACATAAAAATAAACATTTAAATTGTATATTTGCATATTTATTCACAACTCTTAATTGTTTATTCAATCTGTTGCTGTACTAGTACATAATATTGAATGGATTCTCAAACGAAATGCTCAAATGAAGTCAAAAATAGAAGATAAATATTCCATTTGTTTGCTGATTAGATTAGTATGCTTCATAATCTGTAAAATTATTCAATTCTTTTGATGGAATGTATTGTTATCTTTATTTCAAACTAAGTGATTCCAAGCAAAGAAACCGGTATCAAAATGTAAATAATGAACATATGGTTTCCAGGTGCAATGGCCGAAAATAACACTATACAACAGCAAAGGAACACACAGCGGGAGTGACTCATTTCCATGGTTTTTGGAGCCGCTGAATCCGAATCCGTTAGTTTTACTCTGGAAGCTCTAGTTTTTGAGATACGGTCATTGCGATTTCTAAGGCATTTCTATCATACCTTGAAGTTAGAATACACACTTTTGCCATCACAATAAAAAAGTTGAGAGATAATAAATTATTGCCCCTTTCAATGAACGGGGAAAGTTTTATGAAGTAACTTGATCTTTACTTATTGATAAAAAGAGATAAATATCCTAGACTCTAATACGAATTACAACAGCATTGATGCTAATAATAATCTTAAAAGCTACTTCGCACTTGACGAGAATAAAGCCTTTAATTTACAGCTAGTAACTATTTGGTTGAAGATTTTGATTAAATTTTCATGTCGTTAATCTTCTTCCACATTCACCGTGATAATGGCATTGATTGTTCTGAGAAGGGGAAATGTTCCTCTGAAGTACGGAATGGATACGGTGGCTAATTCTGAATGTTTCAAATCTGCGAATGTGTCATCGCGAATATCGCACACATCAAGTGCACCATCTGCATCAATGGGAAACGCCATAACTCCAGCTATTCGTCTCCGCAAAGCAAATCTTACAATGTTTGCGACGGATCTACTACTCTCGTACATTATAGCCATCGGTGGAACTGGTAAATCTTTATCGAATGATCTTAAAAACTGTGCATACATGAATTTTCCTTCATTATTCACAAATGCCATGCCAGTTTTATTGTCGAAATATTCATCAAAGCCCCAAATTCGTCCGAGATTCTCTAAATTACAGACTTCACTGTGAGTACATGGCTCTTCATATCCTTCAGTCGAAAATGAATGACCGATAAATTGTATTCCCATCACAATTTTCGCTGCTGGAACTCCTAGCTCAATCATATTTTCGATTGTCGCTTCTATGCCTGGTGTGGCTATGATGTTCAGTGTTTCATTGATTTTGTAGCGAGCAGTTTCGGAGTGGTTCAGAAAATTATACTTTGGCAGAATATTAATAAAGTTGAGATGTTTGGAGAAGTCAGCGATTCCAAAAAGCTTTAGAAATCGTTTATTTATTCCCACAAGTGAAGAGGTGAGTGAGCAATTCTGTCGTTGGAGAGTTCTACTGAGCTCTTTTATGAAACTTATCACAATATCTTTGTCAGGTGCTTCATTGTTGTAGAAATTTTCTGATTCGTCGTTTTGTCTGGCAGAAAAGATGGGAACAAAAAAGAAATGAAGTACTTTAGTTTACTAATCAAATTCCAAATTGAATTATAAGTTACTAGTCTTTTAGCAAATACCTAAGTTTTGAAAAATCCCAAAACAGTTCCAGTCCATCGAGTTTGTGACTCGATAAGAAGCGACTTGCATCTTCGATGAATTCTTTTCGGTGCATTTTATCGGTAACAATTCGAATGATATCAACTGGATTTTGTTTAACAGCAACTGAAATCTAAACATTTTTTCATAATCATTATTTATTTCTCTGATCACAGAACTATTCTGCTTGGTTACAAGAGATTGCAACACTCAAGAAGTGCCCTTACTTTCAAGTGAGGATATTTCGTCCGTAGGTTCGTAAATCGTTTGTAACTTGCAGTCAAACTTGTCCATGGTTCTTCCGTGAAAAAGTTAAGAAAATGTGTTATTAATTCTACCTATGAAAATGTATGGTCAAATCTTTAAATAGATAAAGAACCCAAAGTAGAACTGTCTACTTTACCAGTAAACATACTACTTCTTCCCCAATAAGGCAAGATTGGGAAAAAATCTGCCAAATTCTGCCTGGGTTTGTTGTGTTTTGGTCGCGGCCATGAAATCCAAACTGACGACAACATTCGACCTGCCTCTAATGGTCATACACACAACACACGTTGAGCGGTCAATATCACACACAAACCGTGTGAAAAAAAAATGACTGACTGACTATAACTTCAGTTGACTTTAGTTGATTGAATTTATGTTTTTGTTCTAAGAAAATCACTTTGATCCAAATGAAGCAACTTAGATTGACTTGTAACTTCAAATGATTTCAGTTAACTATGATAGACTTACACTACACTTTGTACTGAAATGTCAAAGTAAGTCATTTTTGTCCCAAATTAGTTAACTGACTGCTCAGTTACTATTTTTTTACACGGGAATACAGACACGCTAGCACAGGATTTATACGGTTTGCGTGAAAGGCTACTTGATTATTATCGGCCATGCCTACGCTTATGTGATTGAAATCTTCAACTATTACCACAAGCGTCGTGTCAGTAGAGCTCGTCTTATGTTTACATTGGAAATACGTGTTATTGTTGTTGTAGCTTCATCGCCATGGTTTTGGTTCCGTAAGTTAGGCTCAAATCATAACGATTGGTACATATTCTCTCTGGCTTACAGGGAGTACCGTAGTTGCCAGGGCTTGGTATTTTATGATATTATTCCCATTGACCAGAGAGAGTTCCATACTCCCTCGTAGTCTCCTCAATGAGAAACTGTCATTCCAATAGCTTCGCACATTTTGAGAGCAATGTTTGACACTACACAATGTTCGACAAGGTAAATGCGTCTACGTGCTCTTTTAGGCTACGGAGGTTCATTCAACGAATTTCATTTTGCCAATGGATTGTTGTGGTTCCATATATAGCAATCGTCATCATTTGAGGCCAACTATTAAACCCATGCAGAATATACTGAACATTTTTCTGAAACGCCCACATATTTACTGGTTGAATCAATCTTGTAAATTTTCATACCGTTATTGGATGCTGTCTGCCAGATATCGTCAATACAAACTAAATGCGTGCACAGATTTAGATCAACATTTTCGATTTTGAATTCTGTATTATTCAAGCGTTCATCGATTTTGCTCAAAGTATGACACACCACAATTTTATCAGGAGTTGCACCTGTAGTAATTTGTTCGAGAAATTTAAATGAACTTTAAATTTAACACATTTATAAACGTTTCTTGAAACATAAACTTCTGATGGTAAATTACAGGATAGATAGACTGTGAATTGTGCAATCCAATGCAAATACACATTTTTTACTCACCGCATTTGGCTTTATTTAACTGAAAAACACTGAGAATCGATAATATACAAACTAAACGGAACATTTTTATTAACAAATGAATAAATATTTGTTTTGCGCCCAACCTAGCTGGACCGAAACTTTAGTTTGACAGAGTTGTCAGACGAGTTCAATGAACAATAAATGTTTGCTGTTTACTATGTCTCTCTCTCTCTCTATCTCTCTATGTCTCTCTCTCTCTCTTCTTTTCTAGCTTTATTCAGATTCTTAATAAATTAAGATATTAGTTCTTGGCTTTCAATGATCTGTTTCTACTCTTTCCAATGTTTGTCTCCTTTCACCTCTTTTTCGCACACATTCCTTTGAAACTCGAAGCAAAACTGCTATCTAATGACGCAAAACACCTGAATTTATATTCATTGGATAAAAAAAAATCGGCGGCAAATAATCCTATACCTTGTTTTTGCATAGTTACGAGAGGTATTTCCGAAAAATGAAAGTAAATCCGAGTAACACCGATCCAGATTTGTAACCAATTTTATATTGTATGTTAGTTATATTTGAGTAACTTGCACCAAAGTTGGTTATACACATCTATGTTGGAAAATATAACGCAATTTTAACCGTCTTTCTGTTGCTACTTGGTACAAATCGAGGAATGAATGCAACTCATCCGGTTACAATCTGGTTATAATTACGTTATATAAATTTTACCTCTTACTTATAGTTACAAGATTTTAACAAATCGGTGCTACTTGGGAAATATGTTTGACCAAAGAAGTAAATTGAATGGTTTGTAAGACCAAAGAAAGAGAGAGAGGAAGAAAGAGAGAGAGAGAAACTACAAAAACTTGTATGTATCTCTTTCGATTACCATTTTTATTATGAGATTATATGCGAACACGTTTCTTGTTCGTCTTCGTAATCGAAAAGTTGGAAATATAAACAAACAAAGTTTTTCCATTCGAGTAAAATAAATTTGCTTATTCTGTTCTGTTTGTTTTTACTTATTTATCATATTTCTAAAGAGTTCATATTGTTAATATAATTGAATGGTATACAAATGATTTCATGCGTTATGTCATATGAGAATAAACGATAAGATAGTATAATGTTGATATAATTATTATAATCAACATAAAAAAGTGCCATTAAATCAGATGAGTCTTTGTGTGAATTGGCCGAAATTCCTCCGAAATTCGCTGAACAAGAAGCAAGAGTATCCAATGACGACAATCTGTAAACGAACAACAATTCGTTATTGCTTTTGTGAAATGACCTTTTGAACCTGTTTTTTTTTCTTCAAGAAAATGGCAATAAAATTCATACTTGAATCCAACCGATGCCAAAGCCCACACCCGCCAACGTGATTGACAATCTTTCCAAATAGGTCAACAAAAGTGTTTTACAGCCGATTTTAATTGCAATTTCCTCGGTGCAATCAGTGATTTCCGTAGTTCGATTTTGACAGCATGACATTGGAATACTAGCGTTATTCAGTGTTCGTGTCCAATCTTTTGGGCTGTTCACGCCGCAACATTTCAACTGTAGAAAAAGGGTCAATTTGTTAAAACCAAGAAAAAAAATTGAAGAAAATAATCATTTTGGCATCTTTTTACACACTTAGACAGATATTTGCATGCTTTTATATTTTAGACACCCAGAACCATGATCTTTCTTCGGCCAATCTACAAGCTGTTATGAAAATTCATGATAATAATTACCTCAGTTTGTGCAAATTCCCAAATCTCCTTATTTTTCTCGTAATTGTTGAGCATTGAATCGAAGCTGTTGTCTAAAGTTCCATTGAACTGATTCCTTTTCACGTAGACCACAACCGCTGTTGCGATTTCAAAAAAGAATAGCCACGTCAATAGGACCAAAAACTAGGTTTGTTTCAAAGATTTGTCCATTATTATTTTTGTAGAAAATTGATTTTTATATGAAATATACATAGGGGATTGTCATTTTACTTGGGATAGGTTTCTTTAGTCCCATATTACCCACCGTTCCAAGTTAGACGACAATCCCATAGATAATACTAATAACAGTAATCATGTTATTGAAAAGATGCAAATATTCACGTACAATTTGAATCATCCGTGCATTCTCTTTGATTGTACCATAGCAACAGAGAACCGTGATCAGGAACACAATACCACCAGCACATATTAGAAAGAATGGTGCAATCCATGCATATTCTCCTACAAAATAGAGACAAAAATTTCACAAAGTTTGCATATAAAATGCTTGTGTACACTTATAGATACCAATAAAGTCTCGAAATTGATGATAATCGGCGTAGATAAGAGCGCTAAGTACTAGCATTGAAATTCCAGTGACCTGTTAGTTTACGTTTCATAGAATTAGATTGTGGTTTTTTCGGTCGATTTATACGAATTCATTACATGCGTTCTGAATTAGAAAAAAGCATTTTTATTTGGAAAATTGTACGTTAACCTACGCCAAATAGCAAATTAAAGATGAAAACGGTTTGCTTCGTGAAGATTACATTGAAGTTATCCATTTTGATGGTGGTTATCGACACTGAAATAAAGAAAAATTACTTCAATTTTGTCACGCAATCGTTTAATGTAAAACGAAATCAATCAAACAACAAGACAAAATTATTGATGCTGGTTCCAAGTACTTTGACTTTAATTTTAAATCCAGCTGTAGTTTTTCAAAACTGCATTTACCCAAAAACTGCCAATAAGGTGTAAAAACGTGGGCAAAATGATGATCAACTAACCAAACAGTTATGCGGATATTTTTGTTTTCACCGATCAAACTCATTTTTTTTAGTTGTAGCCGCAGCTTCAGGATTTGAACTTAATGCCGTTGCTTTAACTTAAAAATTGGGTTTTGATAGGTAAACATTGTATACTTAACAACATTGCTTCTAAACAATCTTTACTAAACATGATGATATTCATGTTATTATTATTCCAGTTTATTATCATTTCGCCCAAATGCTGTATTGGTGGTTCTCATAAATTCGCTATTTTAAAAATTAAAGACGGCTATAAAATTAAAACAGAGCACTCGGAACAGAGCCTGTTCAACAGACATAAGGAAGACTTTTCAATCCGTTTTTTAACAAAATTTTAATTTTCACTTCAAAAATACGACAACATTTGAACGGCAGTTTGATATTTTTTTCAATCCTTCAAAGTTTAAACTAAACACAAGACGCACCACATGAACTTCTCCAAATCTTTACTTGGCTTCAAAAGATATGTTTTATTGTAAAAATTCACATTGGAAAAACCAATATTTTGGTTTGAGTTTCACTCGTTTCTGATTTTGTTAGTATTTTTTTCAGCTTCACATCGAATGTCCACTTCACATGATCTAAATTGAAACTACTACGATTTACAGTGGTTTTAGGTTGTCAATGACTCAATACAGCTTCACTACACGTACGACAATGATTTAAAACGAAAACATTCTACTGCCCAAGGCTTAATTTTACATCATTTGTCTAGCGGACAATGCCAAAGAAAGTCAGTATTATTAGCGCATTTCAGTGATACGGGCCAGATTAGTCATTGAATGTGTCAGACATAATCTACGGAAAATCACATGACTCAAATTAAACGCTAACAAAAAATTATCAGGGGATTTGAATGTATTTATATTTATTATGCTGCGTTGTATATGACGATTTCGTGTTATCACTGGTTCGGTTATAATCGGTTTCAATGAACGTAAACATTGTAAATACGCAGTGAGGAAGCAGCTTTGCGTTGAGTTTGGCGGTTGATCAAGTGAACAAAATGAATAAGAATGAATACACAAGCCGGTAATTAATATTGTTTTGTTGCTGAAAAATGCGAATAACATGAATCAGTACATAGTTTTTTAAGCAAATAGAATCATCATCATTCAAGGGATAATTCTAGAGTTTATTTTGAAACACTTGTCGAGTACTTTGATTGCGAATTAATCGAAAATCCATTCACATTTCCTTCGGTGATTTTGAATACATCTTATAAAGTACTTTTGTCAACGATCTAAATCAAACACAACGTGCATAATTAATTCGCCCCAATCGTATGAATGATTGCGTTTTATTTCGAAACAGAATTCCGTTTTGTTTGTTGCTAAGTACACGTATTCTTCAAAATAAATCGTCACTTTTGTTGCTTCGGCCAATTTTCCACGCTCCTTGTTCCATGCCGCCATATAAAGGCCATCTTCTGTGCTATTCGGTATTTTAAAGCAATAAGCGACCATGATTTTCTTCAATTTTGCTGAATGACGAACGAACGACATAATTGCTTCGGTTGTTGGTGCACGGAGATAAACACGTTCAAGATTCACCAGGTTATGAGCTGTTGTTTTCATGTGTGAATCATCAGAGATATTTTCAATGCTCAGTTCCTTGATGTTGATCAAAAGTGGTGAAATATTTGCAAAATCATTAGCACTCCAAGACGTAACCGCCAATTTCTCCAACCAGCCTTTCTGATCATGAAAATAGTAAAGAATACAGCGCCGCCTGGGGACCAAGTGCAATGTGTCATACTTTCAACGTTCGAACTAACACAGACGCGTACTTGTTATAGCAAACTATATGCATGATTCTCTATTTCTCCAACCAGTCTGCAGGTGCCGCTTTATTTTTCTTGTTTGACGTTTCCTATCTGTTTGTACAGACGATCAGAGAGGCTGTCTCCAACGTATTCAATCAGTTGATCAAAGATAGTTTTGGTATAGCAGGAAACACAGTAAATATACACGAAAATTTAATGTTTGTTTGTTTATTTATTTTTCTTCCATTAATGCGATGGTTGACATTCTTTATTTAATGTGAGTTTATTCAAGTCAGGCATCGATTGGTTTAGTTTACAACGAAGTTTAGATTCCAAATTTCCTTGCGGGAGTGCATTACGATATTTATTCTTATGACGTGTGAGACTGGAGAATGAAGCCTCACAAACGTATGTGGACCCGAACATGCAAAGAAATTTTGGCACAACGTCTTTGAGTACTAAGAAATTGCATTCAGATAGCAAACGTTTCCATAATGCATCACTTGTTTCATTTGGCAAACCACTTTCTTCATTTATCAACGAAATATCAAATTCCAATTGAGTTTTCTGCGTACCGAAAAGATCTGATAAATTTTGAATATTATTCTGATCAGAAATTTGAATGCCAATTGAAACTTTTTGAAATCTGAAAATCGGTTCAATATTCCAAATCATTTACTGGAAAAAACTAGAATTATAATAAAAAGGTATCAAAATCTTCTGTTGGCCACTTAAATTTTTCGGTTGGCCATGGCCACAAGTGGCCAAGTAGCCAATAGGTTGGACAGCACTGCATTAGAGGGTTAACCCTTTAATGCACAATTTTTTGTTTTTGAATCATTTTGATATATGATTTGATTGATTGATTTTGATGATGCAATGGAGTTTTTGCTATAAACTGAAAAAAAAAATTCGAAAATGCATTTTTTGTTAGAAGAAAATTTAGTTCTACATGTTAAAAAAGTGTACAAATAAAATGAAGATTTGTTTTTCATTCTAGACTTGATTTTTTTTATTCATTCTATTGGCATTCAAAGGCATTCTGCTTGGAATGTCGAATGCCTACTTGCCCACCATAGAATGTAAAAAATGAAAATGCACCATAAATAACCATGAAGAAATGAGTGGTTTGGAGAGAAAATTTTATACAGAAAAGTTGAGAGGAAAAATGTCAAATGAAAAGAGACAGCTATATAGTTCACTATAGTTTACTATACAGTTTACTATATAGTTTACTATATAGCTATCACTTTTCCGCTCATTCATCATCGAAATTTTTTCGCTCAACTTTTCTGTATTACATTTTCGCTCCAAACCACTCAAATAATAATTTATAGGTATATATAGATAACTAGCCGGCACAACTTTACTTTACAGAACTATTTGGAATATGAATATTTTTTGATTTTCTTTTTGCTCTAGATTGCTTATGGTCACTACATTTCATTTCTAGGGTGCGATTTGCAATTTTATGATTTACCGTTATTTTTTGACAGGTGTGCATTTTTCAGTATGTAAGCCTATAAATTCTCAGCCGTTGAAAATAAAGCATTGATCACTGAAGCAAAGTCTTAGTACTTCATCAGAGCTATGTAGCGCCCTGTACTAAAATGTACTAATCTGTACTAAATTGTACTTAATTTGAAAAAATGGTTCTGGTGCATTTCCAGCGATTCCTAACAATTTTGGGAGGCAGTACACGTTCTAAATGGTACTAAACTGTGCTAAAATGTACTAAACAATAATAAACAACAGAAATAAAACTAACCATATTGATACAAACTGAA